GAGGAGAGGAGAGGAGAGGAGAGGAGAGGAGAGGAGAGGAGAGGAGAGAGCTTGCCCTGAAGCCAGTGACTTCTGCTTGTCAGTGGCTGGCTGCCTGGCACCAGGGTGGAGCAGAGTCCACCTGGTGCCCTCTGAAACACAGGGCTCCTCTGCAGGGTGTTTGCAAAGATCTCTGGTAAGGGCTGAAGCTATATATAAATCTAAGAACCTCAGTGAAAAATATCCTTGGGGAACTACCCAAATTCTGGTGCAGTGATGTGGGAACAGCAGAGCACAGACCCCTGCACATCCCAGCTCTGCATCTCACCTCAGCTGCTTTCACATGCCTTCCTTGTTCCAGTTCAAATGTATTTTATTTACAGTAGTGACAATGTTTTTCTTGACTTATTGCTTCAGGGCTGCCCTCCTCATGCCCCCATGCTGGCTCTTTCTGGTACACTGAGCATCATTTGTCTCCAGTTTGCAGCCCCTTCCCTGTCTGGGTACCTTTTCCCTGCTCTGCTGAGTTCCTAAATTCTGTCTGCCTCTTTTCATCATCCTCGTTTTGAATTCCCCATAAAGCACATCTAACTTTCTCCCACTGTGCTTATTCAACTGGAAGGAGGGTTTTGCTTTCAGTGTTTCCTCCTGTCTTTCCACTCCCCTGAGCCATGATGTACATGGAAATTACAAACCAGTCACGGCATGGTACCTCAGTGTCTCTGTACATCACACTGACCTCTGTGCTCTGCTCTCTCTTACCTGTACCTAGTTACTGCTTGGGTTTGACATGGACTTTAAATAGAAAACCACACATTTTACAGGATCTAGAGCAAGCCCCCCCACCAAGCACTTCATCAGGACAGAAGAGTATCTACTTCTGCTACTTCATAGAGCAGCATGGAATAAAGTAGTTTGTTCTTCTAGGAAAGGGGGTATTTCATGGCTTGTAGAGTAAGGAGGTCCTTCCCTTGAAGATGGAGAGGTTATGGAAGGTAAAAGCCTGAGGTCTGGGGTCCTTGGCCTGGCTGTTAGAGCCCAGCTGAGCTTGAGCCCATGACTAATCCCAACAGGTAATGAGGTTTAAGACACTGCTGTTTCCCCAGGGAATGTACAAAAGCTTCTCTTGTTCATTTGTTTCCCCAATTCTTGTTGAAACTTGTAAGTGAAAACAGAAACCACTGCAACAGTATTACTGCTCTAAAGTCAGTCAGGAACAGTCCATGAAGCAATATTAAAGGGCACACCTTCTGTTGGGAAAAACTTCCCTGGGGATGCCACAGCCCCTTTGTGGCCTCATTTAAAAGCTTCAAACTCACTTTCTTTCTCACTCTCTGCAGGCAAAAATGTCAAGGCCAGTGCAAGCTCGGAGGCTAGAGGGAATAGATAAAAATATCTGGTGAGTTAAAAGAATTATCTGGTTTACCCAGGTGGTAGATGTGGTTTCAGGTGTCCTAAAACCAGACTGAAACCACAGTAGCCACACAGCACAGAGCAGAAGTTTCTGCTCAACTGCTTTGCATGTGCTCAGGAAGTACATCAGAGTAAGGTTTTCCCAGAAGACTTTACTGTGGGTCAGTTCTGTACCTGCAGCTCTCACTTCATGATGTATCAGGTGTTTTGCACCACTGGGCAGGCAGAAGCATCACCCTCCCTCTGACCCATCCACCCAAATGATCCCAGTGGCACACAAATCTGAGCCAAATATTTGCTGCACACTGGCTGCAGCCTGGCACCTGCTCCAAACTTGCCTTGGGGCACTGAAAGCAGAGAGGCAGGTGAAGGGCTGCTGCAAATGCCACTCCCATCCTGCCAGGCACAATGTGGGATTGGGAAAGTTGCATGCTGGAAGAGTAGATTTAAATGGTGTTTCCCCAAGGCCCTGCTATGCCTGGGTTCAAGCCACAAACTGCCAGTGAGCTGGCTCTGGTTTGGTTTGAGATGAGCAGTGAGTACAGCCCACCTTGCCCTCTGCAGAGGCCTTCACAGTGAGTGAAGGTGGAAGTGAGCTGCTAAATTTTGCAGAGCTGGTATGAGCTTGAAAACTGCCAAGTCCCCTCCTACTCGGTCCAGTGTGATCAGAAACACCACAGGCTTTCAGCTGTGTCCACACACTTGACCACAGGAGCTGTTTCCTGAGAGAAATCCAGTGCAATAGTTCATCATCTTTGGTTTAATTGCAACAGGTCTGAAATGACCTGTGCTTGGTCCTGCCTGCCTGTGAGCAGCAGGGTGGCTCTGCAGGAGGGACACCAACCCCACCCCTTCCAAAGGGATGCTGTGAGCAGACCCGGTGCCAGCACACTGCTCAGACCCTCTGAAAATGCTTTTGTTTCCCTTCTCTCCAGGGTGGAGTTTGTAAAACTGGCTGCTACCTACTCCAAGGTGAACCTGGGCCAGGGCTTCCCCGACTTCCCTCCACCAGACTTCCTGACGGAGGCGTTCACGAAAGCCCTCGGCGGGGGGAACCACATGCTGCACCAGTACACCCGTGCCTTTGTGCGTGGACAGATCTCCCTCCCCAGCACTACTCCCTCATTTCCCATCAGTCTTGGCTGCTTCAGAGCTCATCAGGCAGCAATAAACAGGAAAAAACATGAGGCAAAACTCTCATGCCCACTGTTCCCAGTAACTCCCTGCTTTACTGGGATGTTTGAAGCAGCTGGGCTGGAAGAAGGGCTCCCCTTCCAAAGGTTCATTCTTGGTTTAGGAGTCTTCTGCAACCCAGTTCCCACCCTCCTCTCACCCCACAGGGCCACCCGCCTCTGGTGACAGTCCTAGCCCAGTTTTTCGAGAAGCTGCTTGGACGAGACCTGGATCCTATGACAAATGTGATGGTGACTGTGGGGGCATACCAGGCCCTGTTCTGCTGCTTCCAGGCTTTAGTGGATGAAGGTGATGAGGTAACCCAAGATTAGGGCTTGTTGCACTGGCAGCCTTCCCCCAGGCAACCTGCAGGCTGGTTTTCATTGCCCTTTTCCAAAGCAAAACTAGTTTTATGCCCATTCTGCAGTACTTGAGTTTCCAAAGGAAGAATTATTTTGCTGCAGGGTACCGCCTCATTTCTGGATAAAGCAAATTAACCCTTTTTGTCCTGAGTGGTGGTGTCCTTCCTGACACTCCCCACAGGCAATGCAGGTTCTCCATTACAGTAATTAAGGGGTTAAAATGTCCTGTCCCTCCCATTGCACTCTGCACTCCTCAGGGAAGGTCTGAGCAGGACCAGGAGGATGCTGACATGTTCCTTTCTTCAAGGTGATAATCATTGAACCCTTCTTTGACTGCTATGAGCCGATGGTGAGAATGGCTGGTGGGACACCTGTGTTTGTCCCTCTGAGACCGGTGAGTGGCTGGAAAAGGGAAGAGTCACAGCAGTCAGCAAAGAGGTGAGTGGTAAACAAAGTGCAAAGCAAACCAAGATTCCCGTGTTCTCTCTAGAATCCTCCAAAAGATGGAAAGTTGATGTCTAGTGCAGACTGGCAGCTGGACCCAGCTGAACTGGCTTCTAAATTCAGTGAACGGACAAAAGCCATCGTCCTGAACTCACCCAACAACCCTCTGGGCAAGGTAATGCTGCTGGCCATGCTGGGCTTTGGAAGCTGCTGGGGTGCTGCAGCCACATTTGCAGTGCAGCAGTGACTCAACCTGCCTTGCACACAAGGGAAGTGGGTGTTGTGGGGGCTTCACATGCTGTGCTCAATCTTCTTGGCTCTTTAGGCTCTTTTTAGTCTTTTGTGCCAGCAGTGCTTTTGCCTTGTTAGACCACTTCAGCCAGCTCCTACCCACCCTGGCATGCAAGATGGTGCCAGGAGGATGCACACAACCTTCAGGGACAGGCAGGGGCTCAGAAATGCTCCTGCTGTAGCTCTGCCACACTCTGTGCCTGCTGCAGGTGTTCAGCCGTGGGGAGCTGGGGCTGATTGCAGAGCTGTGTGTGAAGCACGACGTGCTGTGCATCAGCGACGAGGTGTACGAGTGGCTGGTCTACGATGGGAAGCAGCACATCCACATCGGTATGGGGCTGGGCTGGGCTGAGCTGGGCTGAGCTGGGCTGGGCTGGGCTGGGCAGGGCTGGGCTGGGCAGGGCTGGGCATGGGGATTGCACTGCACTCCTGGAAATCTCAGGAGCTGCCTGCATTCACAGCTGTACTAGGCATGAATCCCCCACTGGAGGTATTTTGCTGCACTTCAACCTCAGCCTCCAAACCAGCTCCTAAACAGAAGCTCTGACTTCAGAGCCAGTCAGAGGAGAGATCTAGAACAAAATGGCTCCAGTGAAACTCCAGTTTTTTTCCTCCATGCTTTGTAAAGCCACAGTTTTCTGAGTGTCTCTAGTTTCAGGAAATCCATTTCAACGTGATTTGAGCCTGTTCTTCCAGTTGGGAGTAACATGCTGTCACCCTGATGCAGGGTGATGGTGCTTGGCATCTCCAAGAGCCCCTGGGGCTGGGTACATGACTGTGAAAATGCTTAATTAAAAAGAGATGCTCTTGAGGAACCTGGCTGCCTGCTTGGGATGTGCTTTGAGGCTCATCCAGGTGAAAGATGTGCTGTGAACACAAAAGATCACTGTGGGTTATGGTGGACAGAGAGCTCCCACGTGCCATTAATGCAGCCCAGAAAGGAGCATGCTGAGCTCTGCCATTGGGGCTTCTCTCCTTTCATTGCCAGCCAGCTTGCAAGGGATGTGGGACCGCACGGTGACTGTTGGGAGTGCTGGGAAGACCTTCAGTGTCACTGGATGGAAGGTGAATATCCCATGTGGCCCCTTGTTGTGTCCCTATCCCTGTCCCTTTGCCATGGCACAGCACTGGGGCCACGCTCAGCTTTGAGCCTCAGGGTCTGAAAGTACCAGAGGTGCTTCATGAAAGTTCTGTGTTGAAAATACAATGAAACCAGCACAGGCACAGAAAGGGGAGCCTGAGCAGGTACCCAGAGACTCAGCATCTTCCTCCTCCTCTCCTGGCCACAGGTGGGCTGGACTGTGGGACCTGACAGGCTGCTGCAGCACCTTCGTACTGTGCACCAGAACTCAGTGTACCACTGTGCCACAATTGCCCAGGTAAGGCAGCTCCCTGCACCTGGCCCTGCAATTCCCAAGCCCTCAGAGCAGGGCTAAGAGATGGTCCTTTTGCCCACAGCTGACCTGAAAGGCACACAGAAGTGATTTGTGGTGCCCTGGAGAGACTCCTTCCTTTCTCCCTACAGTTGCCCCATGTCTGGGAGAAAGGGGAGAGTCCAGCCTGCCTGGGGTATATTCCTTATCTTGCACTGACAAATCTAAGGGGCAGTTCAGAGGGGGTGGAGGCAGAGAGCTCCCTCATCACCTGTGAATTGCAGGAACTTCAGTTCCCAAGAAGGCCTTGACCATCTTCCTACTGGGCACTGGCTCCTCTCTCCTTCCAGGAGGCCGTGGCTCAGGGTTTCCAGAGGGAGCTCAGGCTCTATGGAAAACCAGAGAGCTACTTTGTCCAGCTGCCCAAGGAGCTGCAGCAAAAGAGAGACTGGCTGGTTCAGAGCCTGGATGGTGTGGGGATGAAACCCATCATCCCTGAGGGCACCTACTTCCTGGTGGCAGACATCTCCCAGTTCAGTGAGTCACCTGCAGTGCTTCCCAGGTGGGCTGGGTGTGGGGGGTGGTACTGGCAGGGACAGGAACCATCATCAAAGCAGGGGTGGACTGCATGTTCCCCATCCAAGCTGCAAGGATGAGGCACCTGGCAGCTGCCCCAGCCTCTGTCCTGCTGTGCTTCTCCTGCAGAATCTGATGTCCCTGATGTCCCCAACTCAGATGAGCCCTACGACTACAGATTTGCAAAGTGGATGGTCAAGAGCAAGGTAAATGGGTCTGGCCCTTTCTGCTGTCTTTGGCCTGGGTGGGTTTGTGCCCAGCCAAGCTCGTGGCTGGGGGCCTGGAGTTCACCCACACTGGGGCACAGCAGGCTGCAGGCCAGCCCCAGAGCAGGAACCTCAGCTCCACCTGCTTCCCCTTCCCAGGGGCTTGCTGCCATCCCGCTCTCCGCTTTCTACAGCGAGGCCCACAAGAACAACTACACCAATTTCATCCGGTTCTGCTTTGCAAAGGTGAGATACGTGACAGCACTAAGGAAAGCAAGGTTGGGACTAATAATCAGGGCTGGTTTAATGAGAGAAATGCTAAGAAGAAATGCAGGATGCCTTGGGCGTTGGAGCCCCACCATGGCATCCCAGCTGGAGCAACCACTCCTACAGACCCATGAGCTGAGCTGGGGGCAGCAGATGTGCCAGGGCCATCCTAAACTTTGTCCCATCAGCATCCTACATTTCTTGGCCAAGGAAGGGACTCTCTAGGTGCCCCTTCAGCTGCCCAGTGGCTGTGCCTGTCCCATAGATGGCTGTGCTTGTCTCATACAACCTGCAATGCTCCAGAATGAGAAAAGGATTTTTGTAAAAAGAATGGCTGCAGTGAGGGGGAATAGGATTTGGCTGGGAGCCACTGACCAAACCTGTGGCATTTTTTAGGAGGAAGCTACACTGAAGGCAGCAAATGACATACTGCAAAAATGGAAACAGGAGAAAACCAGCTCCTGAATACACTGGGAAAGAACCAGGCTGTCCTTGGTCCTCATCTGTCCAAGCTGCTCTTCTTCTTCACTTGTCTACAAACTTGGATATGTTGTTACTTCAGTGCTTTCAACAACATATTCTGTCAAATTTCAGACTAATTTTTAATTTTTTTCCAGGCCCAGGGCCTTGGGAACATTTTCAGTCACTGTGAAATTATTTCAATAAGTGAGACTTTGTGTGCCCTGACAGTATTTGACATTTCTTACATGTAAAAACTTTGCTAATCAGTTCTGGGATGCATCCAGCAACACACAAGGTGAGGATGGCTCCTGCGGTCTGTCTCGCCACCAGATTCTGAAAAGGTGTTTCAGGACATGCCTTTAAGGCTGTGCTGGTTAGTGTGGCTTGTCTTATTCCAAAACCCCACTCAGGGCAGCATTTCCACCAGCCCTCACATTCTTATAGGACTAAACAGTATCACCAGCTATCAGTAGGGTGATTCCTATGATCCTGATGATTATAAACCAAATGAAATGACATTTCCCATCATAAACTATTTTCCCACTATTTTTTTTCTGTGCATCTCTGGGGAAGATGACCACAGAATTGGTTTGCCCTCAGGAAACAGGCTTTCACCAGTAGCCTGGCTATTGTGGAACCTTCCAAATTACTCCCAGTACATTCTCAGGGCTTGGCAGCATCATCCAGGCTGCGGAGCAGAACCTTCTGGCCTTTGACAAGTGCACACAGTGGCAGGGGAGGATGGGTACTATGGCCTTGGCTGCTCCTACTGCAGGTGGCCACCACAACCTCCCACCCAATGAGCTGGTGAGGTAACATGAGCAATTCTGGAGAGGTAATTATTGCATCAGTGTCGATTTCAGCCTGGATAAGAGTGTAAAACATCAGCCACGCAGGAGTTACATGCAACAGACTGTGCAATGAGTGTTTGTAGCAGTTAAATTATTAAAGTGGAATTACTGCAATCATGGAAGAGTAAACATCTCTGTAATGACTGCAGGACTGATGGAGCTCTCCTTGTGAGCTGCCTCATCTGTACTGGGTCCTGTGATGGTGGCTACTCGTCCCAGTCAGGCTGGTGGGGAGAGCTCTGTATTGGGCTGCAGCTGGTGACAGCAGTCCCCTTGGAGGCAGAGCTGCATGGGCCAGCAGGAGGGAGGGAGGGAGGGAGGGAAGGAGGCAAACAGCCACCTATCTACCTGCCTTTCCTGGTGTTATATCTCTGCTTGCTCAGCCTGGCTGGCTGAGGGTGCTGCTGAAAGCCCTTTTGCACCCATGTATGTGCCAAACATGGAGAGAGTCACAATCGCTGAAACAGACAAAGAACCGTGCAATTAGATTGTTAACATGAAGACTAATTGCAACACCCCCACATGCGTGGGCTCTTATCTAGGCTATGACACAACCTGCAAAGGGCAGGGTGCATCTACCTATCGTCCAGAACGCACGCAGGGGTTGTGCAAAGACACGCAGACGCGAGTACCGAGGTTTTACACCCCCACATGGGAATTGTGATTTTCCTCGGCTGCACCCAGCGCTGCGCTGGCCCCTGAGGTCACCCATCCTCTCCCGGAACGCGACCGACCCTGCTTAGCTCCGCTGCCGCGCGGGCCCGTTAAACGTCGGCCACGTGACGTGTTTCCTCCCCTGGGCGTGGCATGATGACTCCGACCAATCACCAGCGAGGGGGCGGGGCCGGCAGCGCGGGGAAGATGGCGGGCACGGAGAGTGGCGTGGGGAAGCGGTCCAAGGGTTTGGAGGTGCGCGGGGAGGTCCCGGGTCCAGCCCGCGACCCTAAGGGGAGCCCGGGGTGTGCCCCGACTCTGACGGGAGCCCCGCGGTAACGCGTGCTGTCCCCCGTAGGTTGAGGACAGGAAGGTGGACTGGCGGCGCTGGAAGCAGGAGAGTAAGAAAGGCCGGGCACACATGGGGGTTGGGGCCGCTCGGAGCGGTCACGGCGCGGTGTTTAGCGCCAGGCGCTGTTCCCCCTCCCAGGGAAAGCTGAGAAGAAGAAATGGAAGGAAATTAAGCTGCTGAAGAAACTGGATAAACAGCGGATGCGAGAGCTGGCAGAACAACAAGCCCAGACGCAGGAGGAACAGAAGGAGGACAGAGGTGATGCCGCTGTGATCCGGTGGGGAGACCTGGGTGGAAAGTGCTAGAAAGTGGCTTTTAAAAGGCAGTCAGTGTTACCTATCGATAGGAAAGGTATTACTTCATAGATCCGATGTAGATCATTTCACATGCCCAAACAGGCACGATCACTGTGCAGCAAACCACTGCACTAGAAATCTTTAAGAGAAAACGTATGATTAAACCTAAGAAACAGCAGCTGCTTTTCCCGCAGCACAAGTGCCCAGCGGCTCTCTGCCTGTCCTTAGGCCGTCAGCACACGCTGAGCGTGGCCCTGCCCGGCTCCATCCTCAACAACGCGCAGTCGCTGGAGCTGCGCACCTACCTGGCGGGACAGATCGGCCGCGCATGCGCCATCTTCTGCGTGGACGAGATCGTGGTGTTCGACGAGCACGGAGAGGATGTGAAGTAAGGCGAAGACTGAAGGAGAGCGTGCTTAGATTAGATTTTAGGAAGGGATTTCTTCCCTGTGAGGGTGATGAGGCCTTGGCATGGCTTTCGCAGAGAAGCTGTGGCTGCACCGTCCCTGGAAGTGTTCAAGGTTGGACAGGGCTTGGAGCAGATTGGGATAGTGGAAGGTGTCCCTGCTCATGGCAGGAGTGGAACAACACGATCTTTTAAGTTCCCTTCCAACCTAGGCAGTTTATGTGATTCTGAAGGAAGAGCCATCGTGTTCTGCACAGTATTTCCTCTCAGCTTTCTGTTCCTTCACTCTTTTATTAAGCCAAGTCCAGGAAGGAACTGCATGTACCTCTCCCTGGTGCCAAGATTATGGGGACCACTATATCCCAGGGAAAAAGATGTTGACTTAGATCATTTATCACAACATGGGGTTGACAAAGCAACAAGAGGCTGAGTCTCCTGTACCCTTAAACCTTGCTGTGGAGGGACAGGACATGCCCTGTATCCTTACAGAAGATGCTTTGCTATCCTTCAGTTTTTCATTTGTACCTGTATCTGAGTTAACTGGCCAAGACACGCAATCCTGGGGCGTCAAGCTCAGTAGCATCCAAATACCATGTCACATTAATACACAAAGATCAAAAAACAAAACTGAAAAAGATACTTGGCTTATGGAGAGAGTTCCAAGGATGAGTTGTTAACAAACTGCCTCTGAAGCAGCCCTTTTACAAGGGTTAGAGGGGAGGGATGTGCTGCTATTGTCAGATTAAGAAGCAAAGCTTGGGTTTCTGGAGACCTGACCAATCTCATGCTGAGTTAACAAGCTGCTTGCTTTCACTTTCAGGAGTGTGGAGGGGGATTTTGAAGGAATTGGGAGGAAAGGCAAGGCTTGTGTGCAGCTGGCTCGGATCCTGCAGTACTTGGAGTGCCCTCAGTAAGTTTGCTTTTCTCTATACTCAGCTCCTTCAAGTCAGAACAGGGCTAGAATTGAGATCCAGATTCCATAAAAATACCTTTTCATCTTTCACCTTTCTCTGGTGACAGGTACTTGAGGAAATCCTTTTTTCCGAAACATGCGGATCTGCAGTTTGCAGGTAAGATGGAATTGTCTCTCCTTTCTGAGCTCAGTCTCATGCTTGGGACGGCCAGGACTTTTCCCCAGTTCAGTGCTGGACCTGAGGAAAGAGCAGGGGAACACCTGCACCTACAGCTGTGTTTTCCCTCCAGCACCTCTTTGCTCTGTGCTGTTCTAGGGCTGCTCAACCCCCTGGACAGCCCCCACCACATGCGGGTGGACGAGGACTCGGAGTACCGGGAGGGCGTTGTGCTGGACCGGCCAACAAAGCCAGGCAGAGGCTCTTTTGTTAACTGTGGGATGAGGAAGGTGTGTCTGTTACCCACAGATGCCAAAACAACTTTCCTTGTCTCCCTGACAGATTTGAAGCGGGTAGGGTGGGTGTTGCTGGGTTTATGAAGGCTGCAGTGGGCTGGCAGGGGGTTTAAGGCTGTTGTTGTCTTGTTCTTTCTGCCTTGGCAACATTTGTGGCTTCTGAAGCCCCAGCAGGCCCCGAGCATTCCAGCAGGTCATTGCTTTACTGCTGAACCTTTGAGAAGCAAAATAAGCTCCAAACTTTCAAGCCCTTAAGACACACAGAGCTCCTCATTCCAGCTCCAGGCCAGAACAGACCCCCACTTCCTCAAAGGATTCCCTTCTTTCCCCACCTTTCCCAGTCCTTTTAGAGTGTCTGGTGCTGATGGTCACTGTCACTGCAGGAGGTGCAGATTGACAAACAACTGAACCCTGGTCTGCGAGTCACCGTGCACCTGAAGGAGCCTCAGAATCCAGGTAATCCATGGCTCCAGTAGCATCTGCAAACTTCAGTCCTGCAGCAGCTGGTCCTTCCATATGATAGGTTTGAACATGTTGAACTAGTTCTGCATGTTCCCTTCACTCCATACAGGAATTTAGTAACACTGTTACCATTGCCTCCCTCAATAACGGGAAAGAATTGACATCTCTTTGACCAGCAATAAACAGCCCAAACACACTCAAGCTTTCCAGAACTCGCCAAATTTCCAGAATACTTTTTCAGATTCTGGAAAAAGAGAGGGTGATGTTGCACAGCCAGTCAGTGCCCTGTTCCAGGAGAAACTGCTGGCACTGGCTAGTCAATCTCACTAGATCACAGGGGCTGTTAAACCTCTTTGATTTCTTTCAGAAGCCAAAGTGCAGAAAGGCACCGTGGTGTCCTCGCACCATCCCCGGACAGTCTCAGGCTTGTACTGGGGTTACAGCGTCCGCCTGGCCTCCTGCTTGAGTGAGTATCCACAGAGATTCTCTGTCTGGGCTTCCTCACCAGTCTCAGGCTACTGACTCATGCATCTCTGTCCTAGAAATCTCCTTGTCTGAAGGGCAGCTTACACATGCAGCCAGCAGCCTTGTGGCAGTCAAATTTTAGGGCTGAAACGAGGCATGAACTACCCCAGCCACCCTCCAGGACTCTGCCCTGTAACCTTCACTCACCATTGCTCCAAGTGGAGCAAGAGCAGGAGATGGTGCCCTTCTCTGTTTCCATGGTAACTGCATCCCACTCATTCACATCAGAGCCAGAAGTGGAATTTGAGTTCAAGAGACCTGGAAAATTCTTTTCCTATCTTCTGGTTGATTTGACCTTGTAGGAAGACTGTGAGCTGTTAGGGGGCGGTCTCTGGCACCTGTCTTTAGCTTTAAGGAAAAGGATGCGGGAGACTCTTGCAGCAAGGGAATTATGTAGGAAAGAGGAGTCATTTTGTCTCCAGATGCACTTCTGGCACTGAAAACAAGTCCTTCTGCCAGCACTCAACCATGGAGTGTTTCAGCCTGTCCAGAAGGCACATGGGACACAGCAGCAGTAACCCCAAACTCTGTTTTCCAGGTGCTGTCTTTTCTGAGTGCCCATTCAAGGAAGGCTACGATCTCTCTATTGGGACTTCAGAGCGGGGCAGCTCCGTGGACCAGGTCACTCTGCCCTCCTTCAGGTTTGTGTCCTGCCTGCTTGGCCCTACTCAGAGCTCCCAGTGAGGGTGGTACAGGCAGCAGAGCAGGGGAAATACCCCAGAACAAGGTCGATTATTTTCCTGTTTCTCTGGAGTTGGTAGCAGGGACTTGACAGTCCCTGTTGGGGACTGTCAGTTGGCCAGATGCCGTGGGGCTTTAGTGGGGAGGCAGCTGCAGTGGGCGCCATCAGCAACAGCTCCCTGCTTCAGCAGCACACAGGAGCTTGGACACAGACCTAGACAGTCTGCCCTCTCACCCTGTCCTTGTGCTCTCCCCAGGCATGCCCTTGTTGTGTTTGGAGGCCTTGAGGGCTTGGAAGCTGGGGTTGATGTGGACCCAAAGTTGGAGGTCACTGACCCAAGTGTCTTGTTTGACTTCTACCTGAACACGTGTCCCAGCCAAGGCAGCAGAACCATCCGGACAGAGGTAGGGCTGATGGTACTGGCTGTGCACAGGGCAGTGCTGGGTGTCTGCCTGTGGCAGTGACACACATGGCCCAGGTGTGCTCTGACTGGCCTGGCTCTGCTGCAGGAAGCACTGCTCATCTCTCTCTCTGCACTGAGACCACACATTGAGGAGGCTGTGAAGACACCCAGAGACAGCTGAGGGAATGGAAACCACTGACCTGCCCTTGGGGAGGTGGCTCTTCAAAGGTGGGGTGCTGGGCAAGTCACTGCAGGAGCGCAGCAGGACCAAGGCAGTGAGACTGGAGGTGGCAGTGCTGCCCAACCAGGCATTCACTGCTGCTGGGAGCAGCAAGTCTGTGCCCTCCTGCCTGCATGTCCAGCCAAGGGCTGCTTGCTGCTTTCCAGCAGCTGGCACAAGCCTGGCAGCAGACTTGGTCTCAGCAACTCAGACATCTGGGGTGGGAATAAAGCAGTATGGAACCTCAGTTGCTGTGAAATCCAGGTGTCTCTTGGTGTAGGCACACTCAGTGCCTCTGGAGCTGTAGCCTTCAGACTGAAATAAAGTCTGAAGCTGTTCTTGCCTCAGCCTGACTTCCCCCAGCCCACCTTCAAGGCTTCATCCTTCCCAACAGCAGGAAGGGCTGGAGCTTCAATTGAGCCTCAGCACTAAAACACATCATCAGTCTGGCTCCATCTGTGAAGCCTTAAGCTCTGCCTACAGTGAGCCCAGACAGGAAAGCAGCTGGAAAAGTTGGCTCCATCCTCCCCTACTCCTGCTGAGATATTCAGAGCTTTGGTGAGAGCAGATAAGAAACAACCAATACCATGGGTGTTCAAAGCTTTACTGCTAAAAGCATCTTCTGAAAAAAAACAATGGTACAGTTCTTCGGCCACAGGAAGGCAGGAACTTCTCTCCTCCCTTGGCACCCATCTTGCTCCCTTCCTTCCCTGCTAAACAGCAACAGTTAGTGACTTCCCTTTGTGCCTGAGTGAGCCTCACGCAACTCCAAGGCAGCAGTGGTGCCCTTAAGCCTCCTTAAGCTTGACCACTCTGGAGACCTGTTGTGTGTCTGTGTTTCAGTTCGGCACAAGGGGAAAGGTAGAGAGAAGCACATGTTTGAATCTGAATTCCCGCATTTACAACTGCACAAGGAAATCATTCTGCAGGTGACTGCCAGTCCCTACCTGGGTTTGTTCTGGTCAGGGTTCAGTGCTTTCCAGCTGTGATGGCTTTCAAGTTACTTGTTCTCCTGAGGATGTTTGGGACAAAGAGGAGCCCTGAGGCTCGCTCAATGCTCTCAATGGGAACCAGGAACCGTTCCAGGGGGATTTTATCATCCACAGGGCTGTTGGGCATCACGTAGGAGCGCAACTCAATCTCCCCACTCTCCTTTTCCAAGATGAGCACCTTGAAGAAATGGGTGGGGACAGCCACGTTGTTCTTCCCAATCACTTGGTACTTCACATACATCTTCCCATCAGCCTCCATCCTGCACCAACAGCAACATCCCAGGTTATCTCCTAGTTTGGTGTCACTCCACCCCCTCAGTCCTCCAACACCCCCTAACTAAGCCCCCACCAACACAAGGCAGCAGCTCTGCTGTAACAGGACTTTAAAGCATGGCTGGGGCAGCAGCTATGTGACATGGTGAGGGTGAGCTGTGCACTGGGGCTGCTCCCACATCCCCTCCCTGCTGGCTCTCTTTAACAGACTTTCCAAGCTATTTCTTGCTACTGAAGAGATCTCAACATGAGACATCTGTTCTTTGGTGCTATGTGGAGATCTTTGAAAATAAAGCTGTGTCCTTGAGTGGAGAAGCAGTCCATGACATTGAACCTGAAAGCTTTATTCTGCAGGGATGGGGTCTGCAGTGTAATGTGGTAATCAGATCATCTAAATTGTTAAGGACTGCAAACAAAACCAAGATGGTTATACTGCAGCTCAAGAATCCTACTTGACTCATGAAATAATCATCTAGATGGGAAATACATAAACTAATCCTAATCCTAAAGTACCTTTCCACAGAACTTCTGCACAGCTGGTCTCACCTACTGAGAGGGCCCTTAGTTGATCCCTCGTGTCTAGTCCCTCAGCCTGTTTTCCTTTGCCAGCACGAGGCATCTGCTGGGTGCCTGTCCAGCTCAGCCCTCATGTTTACCTGGGCAGGAAGAGGGGTCCTGTGCAGACGTAGACATTCCTGTTGTTTCTTGCTAAGCTTCTGCAGTACTTCTCAAGGTTATTCCAGGCATTCTGGTTTAGATGAGGATTCTAGAAACACAACCAGTAGTCAGTTGCTGGGGTATTTCCTCACTGTTCAGAGTAACACCACCTGCCTTTTCTGTAACACATCACACAGAGAGAGCCCCAGGCACTTTCCATGTGAGATCTCCACTATCACCTCTGTTTTGCCAGCTGTGGTGGCCTTATTTGCACACCCAGCACGGAAACCATTGCCTAAGGCTGCAATTTTTTGCAGGTGTTCATCTACCTATTTAATTCTGCTCCTGACAGGAGCTGCACTGAACCGGGCCTCTCTTTCTTGGCTTGACAGGCACACAGGCAGGTGCATTTGCCGGATCCCCGTTGTTAAATTTAGCAGGAAACACGGCACCTCCGAGTGACTTTGGCCCCTCTCTGCCTGAACTGCTGCAGACACAAACACAGCGACGCTCCCGGAGGGTTTCCCGCAGGGAGCAGCGTCTGCCCTTGAACGCAGGCAGCTCCGGCTTCCCCCGCAGGCTGGGGCCGTACCTGCGGGGCGATGTTGCTCAAGTAGAAGGTGTCCCGCATGGCCTTCTGGCTCCACTTGTGGTTGGCGGCGGCGGCCAGATGCCCGCGGTCGAAGCCGCTGCCGCGGTAGTCGGCGTTGGTGGCGCGGTGATACTCGTGCACCGAGTCGTCCTCCTGGAAGTCGCAGGCGGCGCGGTCCGAAGCGCCGCTGAGCGTGTCCCGGTTGAGCTGCTCGATGACCCAGAGCGCGCTGCGGCTCCGCGGGTCGTAGCACAGCACGTAGGACTCGCGGCTCCGCAGCTGCGCCAGCCCGGGCAGCCCGTACTTGCTCAGCTCGGTGCGCCCCGAGCCCGGCGGCGCGGGCAGGCTGGCCGCTGCCACGGCGGGCAGCACGGGCAGGCGGGCCAGCAGCCCCTCGGCCGCATCGCCCCGCTCCCGGTGCTCCCGGCGGGCAAGGGCCGCCCCCAGCCCCGCGCCCACCGCCAGCGGCAGCACCCACCGGGCCCGCAGCATGGCCGTTCCACCCTGAGGCCCGGCCCCGCCTTAAACGGGCAGCGGCTGAGCCCCGGGCGGCCGCGCTGATCCGGCGGCATCGCCGCTTTAAGGGGGAGCGCGCACAGCGCGAGCGGCGGGCGCACCGCGATCCCGGGCCCGCTCTCCTGGGCGGCTCGGGACACAGCGACCAGCCAGGGGAACGGCGGAGCGGCTCGGGATACGGGCACAGGGACACAGCGACCAGCCAGGGGAACGGCGGAGCGGCTCGGGATACGGGCACAGGGACACAGCGACCAACCAGGGGAACGGCGGAGCGGCTCGGGATACGGGCACAGGGACACAGCGATCAGCCAGGGGAACGGCGAAGCGGCTCGGGATACGGGCACAGGGACACAGCGATCAGCGAGACGGGGGGACGCGCGCTCCCACCGCCACCGAGAGCGCTCGCAGCTGCGGTGGCACCTGTGCCAGGTGTTCCTGGGGAAGGCAAAGCAAAACCAGGAGATAGCGGTGGAGGAGCCAGGCTGGTTCTCCAGGGCTCTCCGCAGCTCGCTGTGCTGCTCTCACGCCTATGGACACCGCAGCTGGAACCCGGAGCAGCCCCAAGTCCCACTCACACCAACAGGAGAGGTTTGCACAGACATCCGTTTAGTTAAAGGAAACGTTATAAAAATAGTGATTGAAAAAAGCATAAAAAAAGGTTTTAGAGTGATGAAATATTCACTACACCCTTTTCTGGAAGTTCTTCACAAACAAAGTGGAAAAAAAAAAGTGTT